AGCGCATCTTGCGCTACTTGAAGGGAACAAAGGACTTCGCACTTCAATTAAGCCCTACTCCGGGTGGTTTGGTTGCCTTCTCCGATGCCGATTGGGCTGGAGATCTAGGGGATCGAAAATCTACAACGGGGGTGGTGGTGAAGATGGCAGACACTACAGTGTACTGGAGGCCACAAAAACAGGAGTCGGTTGCCCTTTGAAACACCGAAGCCGAATTTATTGCCCTGAGTGAAGCCTCGAAGGTGGTTGTTTGGGTGCAAGAGCTGTTGAAGGAGTTGCATGAGGGAACGAATATTCCCATAACCGTTTGGAAAGACAACCAAGGTGCTGTGTCCTGGAGCAATTCTGGAATTAGAGATGCAAAGCATGTGGCTGTGCATTTCAACTTCGTGAAGCACCTTGTTGAGAATGGTAATGTGTGTGTGAAGTACAGCTCAACAAACGACATGTTGGCAGATATATTCACGAAACCCTTGTTACGCCTCAATTTTGAGAAACACCGGGCCGGACTTGCAAACAAATCCGTACCACAAAGCAAAACAGATTCTGGAAATGTCTTTGCTTCGATCAAGAGGGGGTGTTGAGGTTATGCTGATTCTCTCGCAAGGACTCTATCCAAAATTCGTAAGGCGTTTTGTAGTCCCTACAGAGGAGTTAAATTGATTTAATTATTTTCTATGTCTTTGTCTGGTCACATCTTGATAGGTGATATCCTTAGTGAGGTGATAATTAGTGCTGTGTATGTCGGTTACGCATCTTTCGTAAGGTTTATACTGTGAAGACGTTGCGCAGGGGCACACTTAAGACTATGGGACTTGGAGCACACATTGAGAGGATATAATGGCTACAAAAGGGAAGTCGCTTCTCTGGACTTCGTAAAATAGAAGAGAGCAACTCACTCAAACTCCATTGCAAAAGCAACCAAATCACTCCAGATATACCCATTCTACCAGTGGCATCGGGACGCAAGCCCTTACGGAAATAGCTATCCAGCTGGACAACACCAGACAAAAGCCGTTCAAACACTGGCCTTGGCATTCGGAATCTTCTTTCCAATTGGTGTTCTCGTGGTTGAGGTCCGAACGAAGTCGTATCACGGCACAGAAAATCTCTCGGCCAGAAGTACGTGTGCATATAGTATGTATGCCCTAACTACTAATTTCCGTGTCTGTCTGTCTGTCTGTGTGAGCTCCCGCGTTGCCATTGGTGCGCTCTGTAGAAGCCGCCGTTCTGATTGGTGTGCCTAATATTTGCATAAAATTTTCCGATGTGTCGTTTCGCGGGGAAAACAAATTTTAGGCGCACGGGGGTGACACGGCGTACACGTCACGGCCACGTGAGGGGCGGCCTGGCCTGCGGCTAGGCCGCCACCAGGGACACCTGGCGGCTACGGGATGGGCAGAAATTATGCGGGTCATTTATAAATTTCGCATGACCTCAGAGGCGGCAGCGGCGAGGGGACAGGGTATGTCACTAGTGGGGACGGGGGGGCCGGCGCGGCCACGCTGTTGCGAGGGTCGCGCACGGTGGGTGGCGGCAGAGGCCGCTGACTGGGCGCGGGAGTTGGGGGCGGAGAGCAGGCGGCAGGGGCTGGACCGCGCCCGGGCGGGAACGGGGTCGCGGGGAGCGGCGGTGCGCGGGGTACGAGCGAGGAACACCGAAGGCGGTCGCTGCGAGGTGGGCAGGTGTCCAAAGGGTATGTCACTGGCGGGGGGCGAGGGGGCCTGCGTCGCAGCGCCGTGGAGAGCGGCGCACACTGTGGAGGACGGCGAAGTCTGCAGACGGGGCGCGGGAGGTGGGAGCTGAGCGCGAGCCGCATGGTCCGGACCGCGCTCCGGGGGAATAGGTGGCGGCGAGCGGCGGCGCTGGGCGCGGGGGTGAGAGACGCCGAAAGCGGTCGCTATGAGGCGGGCAAGTGTCGCAGTCAGCAGCGCAGTGGAAAGCACGCGGGCAGGTAGGGGCCGAGAAACTGCGCCGGGTGGCAGTGTTGGGCGCTAGCAATCCGAGCTCGGAGCGATCTCGGAGGCGGACTTTCCGGCCTCGCAGGGCGTTAACCGCCCCTTCTTCTCTGCGTCCGACGCGCTGGCGCGCGACAAATACCTATTGTACATGCCGGCATCACGTGGAAGAGCACGTGGCGGACGAGGATGCGGTCGAGGGCGCCGAGAAACTGCTGGAGGTCGTCATGCGGATCGCGGGGTGTATTGTCCGTTGACGCGGACTTTACTCGGCGCGCGAAGCGCGCACGGAGCCTACTTCTACTGGTGTCTCTTGGTGGACTCGCTATAAAGTCCAACTCGTGCTCAGCCAACTCGGACTGACTGTCAGCCACGCCTCTCGAATAGCACTCCAACCTGAATGCTGCTTCGATGGTAACGGCAGCTCGCATCGTTTTGCTCTGATTGAGACGCAAGCCGCTGTATTGCGGCAGAACTTCTGTCGGAATTAACCGTTTTTGGGCCTTGGACGTCTGGATTCCTAATTTAGATGCGAGATGTTCTACAGCCGTCGTCTCCAATAAAGTGTCTGCAGCAGCGAGCGCTGCTCACGGCCCAGTGATGCTCGCTACGACAAGCGCAGTAGGAGTGGCAGCCCTCGCTGCGCTGGGCGCCGTGGTGCTTGTAGTCGTACCGGCAAGGACAGATCTAGTCATGGTTTCTGGTGTCCTCTACGAACGCGCGCCGCAGGCGCCGTTTTGTTACCCGACATCTGACCTAAATTCCAGTGCCGGTCGGCAAATCTGAATCACATCCGGGGCACTCATCACGCGCCGCGGGTAACGAGGGGTATCAGGCGTCTTGAGCGATTTGGCGCCAACGCACTCCCAGCACAGCCACGTGTGCTCAGTTTGGCCCGTGGCCCGTTGCCGGGTGCGCGCCTGTTACTCGGCGGCTGCGGCGGTGACTTATGCAACCCAGACCGAGGATGCTATGATCCGTGAGCACGGGTAACATGCAGCGGGTAACAGCTCATACGCCCCATACCAGCGGGCCACTGCCAAAAATAAAAAATGCGCGAATACAGAAATTATTTAAAATTATGAGTTGACATTCAGGAATCAATACATTAGTTTAACACATTATTTAATAACATATTATTTTAACACATTATTTAATAAATTCGCATTCATGAAGAATTGAACTCGCGACCAAAAGAAAAGGGTAGCAGTGGAGTGGTACCGAAGCACACCACCCCTGCTAAAACCCCTTCTCCGTCGAGTGGTACCGAAGCACACCACCCCTGCTAAAACCCCTTCTCCGTCGTCCCGCCTTCGCGTGTGCACCACTCCCGCCCGACCTCTCTGGCGATAGCAGTAGTAAATTTCCAACCAATTTATACCAGACCATTTCGTGCTACAGTACCGACCCGCCAAAAAATAAATTTGAATAAAAATGCATTCAAAAAATAAATAAATGATATTAGTAGGTACATGAATCCCTAGAATTGTATCTGTAAGCGCACCCCTCATGTACAGTATTGATAAATAATTATTTACCCCCCAAAATAAAAGGGCACCCCACCTCGTCAGAAGCCCGCGACGACATAGTTGAGCCCTTCGCCGTTGTCGCCGACCGCCCGCCCGCCCGCGCCGAGCTGCAGTTGATGATGCAGGCTCCCAGCGTCCCGCCTCCTGCCACCGCCGCCCGAGCCCGCCCATGCAAGAAAAGGTCCCTCCTGCCGTCTTGACAGCTACGCCCGCTCCCGGCCCTACACTTACCGCCGCACCCGTCTCCCCTCATCCGCCGAGAGTCGCCTTTGCCCCGGCCTCCCGACGCACCCAAGTGCAGAGTAGAGTCATCCGCATGCCGCTCTACCGCTCCCCTGCCTCCCCTCCCCTTCCTTCATGGCCAGCGACACCGGTACCCTGACCACCGTCCGCGCGCGCTGGCTCCCGCGCCAGCTCATCCTGCTTCCGCCGTTGCCGTACCTCGGGCTCCATCTCATGCCCGGCGAAGCGCCCGCGCTATCCTCCGCCGCGCAAGCGCACTACCGACCCCGTGTTCCTCTCCTTCCCGCACACCCCCTCGCTCTGGTGCACCGTGTGGCTCTCGAGCGGGAACTGCTTGCCCATGAGGGTGTGCTCGCCGGGGTGGTGGAAGTGCCACGCGAGGGCCCAGTTCCGGCTGGCGGGGCCGGGCCGAGCGTTTACTCGGCGCGCACGAGCTTGGGCTGCGGGGCCAGCGGCGAGACGCCGACCGCCGACGGAAAGTTGAGGGTGGCAGATCTCGCCCGCACCGCACGCGGAGAACTCCTCGTCCACTGACGACAGCGGCCCGTGCCCGTTCGTCCGCGTCGTGTCGTAGCTGTACGGCCCGTCCACAGCCCTCATCATCCCCCTCCGGCACCTCGCCCGTCGATGACGACGCGACGAGGGAAACTAGGGCCGAGAGCAGCAGCGTGCAGACCTGGAGATTCATCGTGCGGGCGTTGGGCGTGTTCGGGCGGGGGAGTGAGTGAGATAGTGTGGGGGGAGTGCAGGGGGCGGGAGGAGTATAAATATGCATGCGGCTGCCGGCGAGGTGTAAGATCCCCTACCCCGCGAGCGGATGCTACGGAGGCAAGACCCCGCCTCATTCTCATCACCGGGAGGCAGGGCTCCCTGGATGATGAGAATAAGGCGGGGTACTGGGCGGGGCGTGTGTGGCGCAGCGTGTCCGGCGGGGCAGTCTGCCGCGGGCGGGCGGGGGCGCCGTACAGGCGTGGCGGCACACGGGGGGCGGCGCGAACGTTAGGAAAAGCAAGAGAGTGAAAGCTAAGGAGGCGCGCCGCCGCATCCCCGCCGAGATCCTCCTCGCCCTCGATTACATCCATATACTGTTCGTTGTGTACCGCAACTTGAAGCTGGAGAACGTCCTGCATGACCTGGACGGCCACGTCCGCATCGCCGAGCCGACTTGGGCCTCATCAAGCTGCTGGGCAAGCGGAAGCACCCGTCCCAGAAGCCCCAGCCGCCGCCCTCGTCCAATCTCCGCATCGCCCCGGCAAACCCCATCAACATGTCAGAGAGCTTTTGCGGCACGCGCGAGTACGTCGCCCCGGAGATGCTCAGCGGCTGCGAGTACGGACAGTTGGTTGACCTCTGGGCCTTTGGCATCATCCGGCTTCAAACCGCTCATCCGCGGCTTGCTGAACCGCAACGCCAACACTCGCCTTGGGCTCGGCCCAGATGGGATTACCGAAATCGCTCTACAGTCTCACCCAAGGGCATATACGCCATTGGTATGACGTGGGAAGAGAGCGAATGGGATAGACAAATGCAGGACGAGGGCGGCCCGACATGAGGAAACGTCGCGGCGGGGTGCGGGGGAGGCTGGGCGGGTGGTTTTCCAGGGGCGAAGTGCGGAGCGCGGAGCGGCAGGCTCGCGGCGTTTACGTAGGCGCGTGCGGCCGGGTGGCAGGCCACGCGCGCTTCTCATTCGCCGCGTGGGCATACGTAGGCCCATTACTACAACAATAACTCTATCAATTCCTATAAAATACATCATAACCCCAACCGTCCAGTACCATAACGCACCCGCCGTTTCCCTTTCGCCCCTCCCGTATGTCCACGAACAGCTTCCTCAACCAACAATTGACAATGTCAATGTTGTCTGCCCCCCGCTCTGCCAGCACCACTGCGCCCGGTGCAGAGAGCGCCTTCATGACCACCACCGCCAACGAACCGACGAGTGCAGTCAATAAGGCGCCAGTCCCCGAAGCTCTCACGAAGCCAGTCGCGGCGAAAATTACTGCACCTTCAGCAGCTCTCGCAGCTGCTGACGCTCTGCTGGAGGCCACGGCTGCAGAGGCTCTCGCATCAAAGGTAGGAACCCGAACGGCACAAGCACAACAACGGGCAATTTCAGCAGAAGTGCTGGACCACAAGAGAGACGTACGTCGCAATCAAAGCTCCATGATGCGAGCGGCAGTCATTCTTGAGGCAGCTTTCAAGCTGGAGTGCTGTGCTAGAGGCCTGGCTGGCGGTCAGTCGGAGCTAGCTGAACACGAGTTGGAATTCATGGCTAGTCCACCAGGGAGCAATATATGGATTCCTCCTACTCGCAACGCGTTTGGTTTCATGTCAAGGCCTGTGCTGAACACACAGGCAAATATTGAAAGGGCTGGTGGATCTTCATGGCGCACAGAGCCGTCGCAGTCAATTACGAATAAGTTTTTTCATGTCGGTACATCGCATGGTACGTCGGTTGTTATGCTGCTTGCACGCGAACGCGTTTGAACGCGTCCGTCCACAAGTGCCTGTGAATGTAAAATACTGTACTAACGTTCAATTCCGCGTTCAACGTAACCACTTGCAGAACGTTTGGTCGTCGATAGACAGCCAATCCCCCCACCAGTGAACGCCAGGTTTTCTGGCCGTCGACAGGCGCTGCAGCCGGCAGCGGTACTCGAAGTTGGGTACCGCGATCCCTCCCAAAGCTCCGGCAGAAACAATACAGCGCTGGTGAAAAATGATTTTCAGCAGACAAAGCTAGGGAATTCGAGCGGGCGGCGTTCGCGCGTTGATCAAGAGCAGCACCCTGCTCCCACAGGGATACCCAGTATGGCAGACGTGATTTTGTCATACTTTTTTAAGACAATCTATACACAGAAGCCTTTGATAGATTATACAACGTCGGAGAAAAATCGGCTGCGCAAATGGGCGACCGCGCATTCTAAATACAAGGCACTTACAGAAGCCTTCTGCGAGATACTTTTCAGTTTGGCGACAAGGGTGCCGATTTGGAGCGGGGACTCAGTCTTTATGAGTCCTCTATTGTGCCTTTGCACGATCGTGGTGGCCGTGGTACAGCTGTCGTCAAATCGCGCGCTTATCTCAAATGTCTACGGGCCCCACGAAGAAATGGAAATAGCATAACTAAGTTTAGGAGCAGGGTGCGCGCTTCCACGATAAGAAGCGCTCTGGATAGATTACATGCAGCTTCCGCTCAATGTGCAGCCCGCAGTGGAGCTCGTCGAACTGATTAAATGCTTTTTGCAGGTTACAACTGCAGGGCGCGCCGCGCTTGCAAAATGGGGCGCAGCCCAAAGGCGACAGTGTGCGCGGGGCCGTGGCGGTCGGCTACAGGAGCACCCCGCCTCGCACGCCTCGCGCCGCCCCCCGCCCTCCGTGCCGGCCGCTGCATGGCGGCTCGCGAGCCGCGCGTCCGTCCATCCCCGGGCGCTCGCTGCGCCGTGCCTCGCGCTGCTCGTCTCGCTGCGCCGCGAAGGCGTTATCCGAGGACACGCGGTGCGTTGAGCGGGACGTGCGTCTGGCAAACGGGGAGCGCGAACGAAAATCTGGCGACTCGGGCGACGCGGTGGGCAGGGTAGTCTGGGACGCGGGCGGGGCGCGGGCGGGCGGGGGGGGTGGTCGGCGCGCTCGCAGGGCGGGTGCGGTCCTCGCGCGAGAGGGCGCACAGGTGGGAGCGGCGGAGGAGGGCGAGCTTCGCGGCGAGGAGGTAGAGGATGTGGGCCTGGTCGGCGCGCGGCGGCCGCGTGGTGCGCGGGCGGCGCCATCGTGCGTCAGCAGGTGCTCCAGGCGGATGCGCACGGCGTGCTGACGCTACGGGTCGCGGTGGAAGGCCGACACGACGCGCGACAGGGCAGCGTATGTCGCGCAGCAGGCGGTGGTCGAGACGCAGGGCTGCGGCGTGCGGCGGCGACGCGACCCCGCGCGAGACGAGAGGGCGCTCAGCGCGGCGGAGAGGGTCGACGGCGTCGAGGACAGATCGACGGCCGTGAGCGACGGGGCGTCGCGCGCGGAGAGCGGGGGGGGGGGGACGGCGGGCGGCAGGTCATGTAATCGGCGTAGTCCATGGGGGGGGAAGGGGAGGGGGAAGGGGGAGGGGGAGGTGGGATGGTGGGGGTGGTGGTTGGGCTTCCGGGGGGAGAGGGGGAGGGGTGTGTAGGAGGTTGGGGGGGTGCAGCGATGGAGGGGGAGGGTGCAGTACCATGGGGGGATGGGCGGGATATTTGGCGGCACTGGGAGGGTGGCGGGGGGTGGGCGGCAGGCGTGCGTGTACGGGGTAGGGTGGGCGTCTGTAAAGAGGGGCGTGCGCGAGGGGTTGGCGCGGGGGTGGAAAACGCGGTCCGCCGCCGACCGCCTGCCCGTTGACGGCTGACACAGGCGGCTTGCGGAACGCACACCAGTCTGTCGTTTACAAGCAGGTGAAACCAAGCTTATCGTAGGGGTTCTCATTAAATTGATCATCTATACCGAGGTACTTGATCATCTCCTGTAATTCAGTCCATGCAAATTGTACCATAATGTCCCGAAGGCCCCACCCTAGAACATAGTGATGATACTGTGCGCCCCCTCGACGGGCAGAATGTTCCGTCAGTCGCCCTGCGATCCCGATTGCGTTACTTATGTATCCTAACACCTCCCGGTACGTAGTGTGTGACATGCGTACACCTTCGCGCAGCGCAGCGCCTTGAAACGCCGGGAAAAGTGGACCCTTCGTAATCTTGTTTGACTTGAAAACGAGTAGCCAGCGATGTAGCGCATGCAAAGGGCATATAGAGACGTGAGCCCCGCGCGAGAACTTAAAGTATCTAACGCCTGTGCCCGTTTTGGTAAAATGCAATACACCAAAAACCGCCGAGTTGAGACCAGAGCCTGGGAACACAAGATCTTCCACGTCTAGATTCAGTAGCTCATCGGCTCGAGCCACGCTTCCCCACTGCATTACGTTGAGTGTACAGGTCTAGAAAGCCCTGAAGTCGAACGGATCTTCAGCACTCGGGAGCACGCCATTCATCACGCGTAAACTCACGTCCCGGACGTATAGATTGTACAGACTTTGAACGTCCTCATGAGTCTCAGCCAGAGCGCGTTCGGTGATGTTGACTTTCGCTCGGGCCTGATCATTCTCGAGACGCCTCATTAACTGTTTGAGCTGTGGGGCGCTGCCCGGATTTCTGAGGAACGCTCCCCAGCCTTTCTCAACATATTCGCCCTTGACATGGCGGCACTCATACCCGACGCCACACTCGGCGCAGTCCAGCCGACTGAATGCGGCAGAGACGGCGCTTATGATCGCGCCGCCAGTTGACTTTGCCTTCTTGTTCTCGAACCTGGAATCTATGACAAAGCCGCACCTGCTCATCATCAATGCGAGTGCCACCCCAACCGGGGATTGGGCTGGGGTTCTCTTTTGGAGCGAATGGAACGGCTTATTGAGGGGATCGTCGATAGGTGCTCCAACGTTTTTCATTGCTTCGCTGAACATTTTAATGATTCCCCTATATCGACTCTCGGAAGACTCCGCAAGTAGTCACCGGAGCTTGGCCTGTCCCGCGATCAGCGCGGCGTTTAGCACAGCCCTGCTTGGTTGCACAGCTGCGCGCCCTCGACCGCTTGTGTAACTGCGACCGCGGTTGCCACTGCCACCGCCGTGTCCGCCACGCATCGTCGACCTCGCCGAATCAAGCTCACAGCTCAGTGCAATCTGGGCGCGGTCTGGTATGCGCATGAGTCAGCGCAAGACTGAGGACGGGAAAGGAGCTAAGGGTGAATGATAGTAAGCATGACATAAGAGTCGCGAGAGTGAGGACGGATACCCGGGGTGTGACTCGACAGACACGTGGCATATGGAGGGGTGTACGGGCGACAAACAGCGACAGCGACACAGACACGCGTGGGGACTCGCAGTACAGTACAGACGAACCGAACAGGCGGTCGACGAGTCGGATATCATGACCGATCTCACTGCCGAAGAACATGGCAAAGTGTAGCAGGAGCCTCGCGCTCTAGCACGAGAGTCCTCGCCTTTTATTCGCCGCTCTGCGCTTGTCTTCGTCGTCCGAGTCTACAGCGGCCAACATCTCGCCCATTGATCGCCCCGACGCGTCTGTTCGCCTTCAGCCTTGTCAAAGTCGTGGTCGATGGAGAAGAATGGGTCGAGTCAAATGTTGGAATGTTTGTCGTGTCCCTAGCCACTCCATTTTCATCCTCTTCCCCATTTCGCCAGCAAAGCTTTGCTTCTCTTTCGCCTCTTCTCGGCCTTCCTCGTGTTATTTCTTTTCCAGCTTCCGTTTCACGATATCCTCACCCTTCTCCAACATACCCCGCTCAAACTAATCTCCATGTCCATGTCGTCCTCCTCGCCATCTCTCCCCTCGTTCACAGCGCCAA